ACAGCGTTGGGCCAAGGGTAGCCTACCCCCCCTGCAATGGGCGGTTTTTTGCGGGGGGGGGGGGGTGCAAAGCATCCTGGGATGCTGTGGGACTGAGAGTTAACTTGAATGTGGAGGGGATCTGGAACACAAGTTCAATAAAGTAATTTAACCTAAATCAGTTAAGTCTGATACTACATCCATCCAGGTTTATCTTAAACTGGTTCAAATCTACCAGTTTGAAAACAGCTTATGTGCACTGTACTTCTGTTGTGTTTCAGATTTGAACAGGTTTCCAATCACTTATACTGGTTTACACGTAATGTCTGTCCCTAGCCCATGTAAGACTTGAATCTTCTGTCTTTGGCAGCCACAGTGTCTTCACTACTGTATTTTTGGGTTTGGTGTATGTGAACAGGGGTGGGTAGTGCGTTGTGCTTGAGAGCAGCCCTCTCCAGGAGTCCTGCAACATAGTATAGCTGTACCCATAATTCCTTGACTTCCAGTGGTGTCACATTTTAAATGCCATCTAAACTGTTATTTGGAGGCCCTGGCTCTTATTTGTAAAAACTTTGCAGGGATATCATAAAAAGTGGAGATGAATACTACATGAACAAAGTCATCTACTCTTGTCTGTACAGGATTTTCTTACAGTATTTTTCTAATGTTGCATGTAGTCTATTTCTAAAAGTCCTGAGTACTGCTTGCACCACTTCCTTTCAGAGACTTTTATAATCTAACAGAACTCCTACTTAATTTTTTTCCTTATCTACAGCTTTTACTTTCCTTTCTTTAACTTCATCTCACTGCCTTTTAAATTTCCTGCCTCTGATCTGTCAGGTTTCCCTCCAGTAGTATTCACTCCCTTCAGGTGTAATCCATGGAATCCTTCTGCAAGGAAGAATAACTTTTTAGCATCTTTCCCCCCACTGAATTGAAAGGAATTCAACTTAAGTCCATATCCTGCTTGCCCCTTAATTCGGTGCTTTAGAGCGTCTCATAAATTCATCGCCTTTCTGCTGGTTTCTAAAATTATACATAGTGTACAACAGGTTGGTAGAATTCAAGTTCAACCTAGAATAAAAGTAGAGCTTGGTTGAGCTATTGAACTTGCCAGTAATTTAAAGCACCCAGAAAAATTTAACTTAGAATACAGCCCAGCAGTATCTAAACTAAGCTCAGCCCTGGTTAATTCTGGAATAATACAAATTGCATTTCAGTAAGGCAGTAGGCAAAATGACATTCACTTCAGGTGCAACCAGAAATCCAGAATGCTAGCAGGGTACAAACTGCAAACAAATGCAACATAAATGCATCTTTGGCAGATATCAGGGTGCTTGCACTGCCTTGCCTTCAGGATCAGACTTGTCAAGAAAGAGGCAACAAAAATCTCAAAATAAATAAGTAGGTCTCGGGTATGAATATGTAAATCTGAAAGGCTCAGGCTTCCTCTATGATTCCTGCAGATGTTTTAATAGAAAAGAAATCATTATTCCAACATTAACCAAGATACCCAGCACTAAATAGACCAGAAAGTCCAATGCACGGTAGTAATTCTTCCAAGCTTACGTAACTCTCCAGCAATAGTAAATATTGATTTCAGGAAACCAAATGATCGCCTATCTTTTGATTGGGACAGTAACAAAAATGATCTGAGTGGGTTTTTTTTCCTCCCCCACTTCTGGTATGTTAGGTAGTCCTGCAGATCTTTGCCAACTGCATGTAGATGATGAAATCATTGCTGTCAACGGCACAAAGGTGTCACACATGGACCCTGCTGAGGGGGAAGAAGCCATTGCTAATGCTCTAGAAACTGGAAACCTGGTCATGGATGTCAGACGATATGGAAAGAATGGTGAGTTGTTTCACAGGGCAACTACAGTATGCTTAGTAAGGTGAATATGCTTTGTCTTTGAGCTCGATGCATGTGTTGCAGAGTCCCATAATCCTTGCTTTCAGTGTTTTGTTAGTGTGGCTGCTTCGTAACAACACAACTTGGTATCCTTCTTTTTTGTTTTCCTTTTTAACCATTTATACTGCAGCAGTCTTCACTGGCAAGTCTACTGATCTTAATTTAGTGACAATACTTATGCACTGGCCTAATTTTTGATGGAATGCAAAGCTAAAGGTGCGTCCTAGGATTGTTACTTAGGTGTGTAAGAAGACTATATAAAGGGACAGAAAATGCCCTTTCTTGCCACCTCAGTTGCCGGCATGTGTGGAGGCGGTTGTTTGTTCACATTGGATAAACCACCCCTATCTTTCCCGACAGGTTTTGGAGACAGCAGCTTTCCCCCCCATCTCACTCTTTTGGGTATAACACTCCACCTACATTCCCCTCTGAACAGTGGGGAAAGGAGCAGGAAATATACATGATGGACACTGAAGCAGAACCTAGTATATTACATCTGAGATGTGATTTGTCTAATTCAAAGGAGGACTGTGGGAGTTAGCCTTTCAGGCCAAGTGCAGGCATTACACTTTTACTGGTGTGATTGGAAGCTGGTTTATACCTGTAACAGAACAGAAGTTCAGCAAATATAGACTGATTTAAAAATGGCAGAACCCAGTCTAATATTTGCCCTCATCCTCTCCAAGGGTGAATGTGTGTTCTGTTTGGTACTTACCTAAACTATGCCCCTTACAGAAAACTGTGCAGCTTTGATCAATTCCACCTTGGGATTTTTCAGTATCTGTACTTAGTTTTAGGGTTAAAAATTCCTTCCTGGCTATGGTACCACCATTCTGGCTCTGCAGGAAGCACTAATCCATACATCCTTCCTGGTTTGAAGGAGATCTGGCAATGCCTCAAAGTTTGCTGTTGGCTTGGCCCTAACACATTTTGAGAGTCCGACAAGGATTTTCCAGTGACCACGTCTCATATCAGTGATCTTTTTACTTGCCCTACTACAGCTTGACTGTCATTTGTTGGGGCAGGAAAATGTAGAATAGGATATTAAAACAAAAAAACAAACCAAAATGTTTGTTAAAACTTGTCTAGAACCTTAGGTAAATGATGAGTGACAGGCCCCAAGAAAAATCAGAAGCATGGGACCCTGGAAGCTACTGGCATTGATCTTGATTGGTTCTGGATTGAAGGGTGGCTGCAACTCTTGTATGAGATTAATGTTAAGGTAAAGGTAGCTTTCCCTTCAATCATGTTTCATTTGGCTTATATAATCCTTTCTTGAATCAATAATTTACTAGTTTATTGGAGCAGGCAGTAGTATTTGCCTTTCCTACTTGTATACAGTTAAATTTGTGACCTGTCATTGAAAACCCAGTCTCTGGGCCTCATTAGCTGCATAATATAGTCAAATTCAATGTGGATTATAGCAAATAATCAATGGGGACAAATTTGATATATCATGCCCCTGGAAAAATATGGAGATAGTGTTCCTGGAGCTCTGTATGTATTTAAAACCCTGATTTCTGTCCATGATGGTTTGATAATAGTCAAGATGAGATTTAGCAATGAAGTTTTTTGTGGAAAAATAGCTTTTAATGAATAATAATAAATATATATCTTGATTTATGTAATATATCTAAGTAAACTTGCTAATATTTCTTGAGCCTAGCTTTTGACTAACTGGCTTATTGGGAAGGCGGTCTGCTTATAAAAAGTCTAAGCTTTTCCTGTCTCTTACAAAGTCTACCTAATTCATCTTTCTTCTTTTCCTCCTCTCTTTCTCCATTGTGTATGTGTATGTTTCCTTATTATTGTCTGATTTGAATGTGTTTTCATTAACTCTTGTTCTTTACTTTGGCATCTCTGTCCACATTCATTTCTTGATCTCCATGTGCCAATCAGATTGGGGAAAAGACCAGCCTTCCCTGCCATATGTAAGGCATAAAATCCTCAATCTCACCAGTCTGGCTGCCAACATTGTAGGTACATCTGAAAATAAATGGATTGATGCAACTTCTGGAGATCATTTTCCCACTACCTCTTCAGACATATCAACAAAAACAGATTTCAACAGCAGTCTTCAAAATTCTGTAAGTTGCTTGTAGTTTTGTTTCGTTTTGTATTTTTTCTAGAATTGTGGAATGTTGGGAGAAGAAATTGACGGACGAGTTTTAAGATCTTAAGGAGAAAAAGAGTAAATCTAGCAAATGAGCAAGATTTTTCAATTGGCTTTTTAATTAGTCTCTGTTTTAATGCATCATTTCCTGTGTAAATGTCTAACTTTTATTTATGTACAAAGCCAGTGTAACTGTTTACATAGAGTTTTAGAATGACAAGGCAGCAGTATCTTTCTGGTAGCAATTTAGAAAGCAGTTGGCTTCCATATAAATATGCAAAGAACTCCTACTATATTAAAATGACATTAGCCTGGATGTAATTGAAGAATCTCCAGAATAAGCAGCACAAAGAAACCTCACTTTGGCCACCTTGTGGAAGGGAATGCTCTTTACTGATGCACTGAAAGCTCTTACACTAGATGACACTTTCCACTCGGGATCAGAGTGGGTTGATGACATGATGGAGTGGTGGTCCACTTCTCTCCTCCATTAGCATAATTTAGGGCTTCTGCTATCTGGCCAGGTTAGTAAAGGAACAGGGATCTTGTTTGACTCCCCTTTGCCCAAAAGGACTACAAGTAGAGGGACCCCACCTCCATAGTATTTAGATTCCATTTTCTTTTCTAAATGACAATGCTTTTACTGATTAGATTTCCTCTTCTGAGCCTGGAGCTTTTTAAGTAGGTGTTTGTGGTGGAGAGAAGTTAGGTTTTGTTGTCTTGTTTCTGGGAGTAATGGAATTGGTCTAGTTTAGAAATAAGCAGTACTTGTCTTTAAACTTTTTTTTTTGCCAATTTTATCTTAAGTTGCTCAGTGTGTGTAATATTCTCTTTGCTTCCCTATCCTTATGTCAGTGATACTTTTTCAAGAAATATAAAGTTTATGCTTTTGAGTCACTTAAACTCTCCCCCTCACCCCCACCTCATGGATTCAAATAGCAACTACCATTTTGGCTTATAACTTTTTTTCTAAACCAAATTGAATGGTTTCTTTCAGGCCATCAGCTAATGATGGACATTAATTCTAGCAAATGTCTGTACCCTATATAGAAAATATATTGGAGAAAATTTGTTACAAGTTGCTCATAAGTTACAGGAACTGTCTGGCATACTTAACTTTTTGCAATTCCTGTGAGAGAAAATGGTGATCGTGACTGATAAGTTAAAATGAAACCATGAAATTATATTTATATAGCTTTTCTTTTTGTAGGATACCGGAGCCAAAGTGATAAATGGGATGCAAGCAGATTTGTGTTCTAATGAGCAAAAAGGTAAACTACTGTTGTTTGTCAGTTAATTGTAAAGGAAAGAAGAGAGAACACAGATATTGTACCTGTAAATGTTAGTGGAATACTGGAGGCTACATGTCTAGCACATAAGTCTGATTGCACTCAAAATAAGTAGGGTTGCGCTACAGCAGAGGTTCACAAACTTTTTCTTTATTACATACCCTCTTCAGATGTATCAGCTGCATGCATATGCCTACCAGCATACCTTTTATATTTTAACCCATTAAATGCCAATTATTATAATAAAAATTAAATCTGCTATTACACAATTTTTCCTGTGTTCTTAGCGATGTCTTGCATACCACAGTTTGGGAACCTCTGTCTTACAGGGAATGTTCAGTAGTTGAAGAAGAGTGGCTGTAGCTTCACTGGTTTTGGCTTCACTTCACATTCCAAGAAAGAACCCACCCGCCCCAGTTACTACTCAATTTAGGACAGGGTTTTACCTTCCTCAAACACTGAGCACTAGCTACAGCCAAGGCTGGGGATTTTGATTGGGATGTACCAATGCTCCTGCTGACATTTAAACTTTGAGATTCCTAGCTAGAAAGCTTGCCCTTCTGCTGAGAGTCAGACCTACTGCCATATTTGAAGTCAGGAAGGAATTGTACCCCATTGTCAGGTTGGTACAGACTGTAGGGGTTTTTGCCTTCCTATATAGTGATGGGAGGGGCCCTCTTTGGATCTCTTGATCATATTTTAACAACCCTTGCAGTAACAGAATATTAGCCACTGTTGGCCCCTTGCCTTCCCTGTGGCAGGTTAGGGTGTTATGCCTTGTGATTTGTGTCAGGGTTGGCTGTCGTTTTACCAATAGCTTAGATAATGAATTTGTATAGGATAGCTTGGATAGATATGATCCTGCCTCTGGTGGAGGGGTTGGACTAGATGACCTCTGAATGTCTCTATGATTCTTAGATTTTAAACAAAGCCCTAACAAGAACCTGGATCTCAGTATGGCTGGTTATAGACTTCCTGTGCGGGGAAACAAAGCAGAGACAAAAAATAACTCCACATAGTGCAGTATTGTTTATAACAGATTACAGCAGTTTCGTATCAGTCCTTCCATAGCTTTTGAGTGTCAGTGCTTTCTCTGCCCTACAGGCACTAGAGGGATAGGATGAAGAGAATCTAGCTCTATGGGTGAGTCCCCACATGCAGGAGTATGTGCTTGTAGACGCAAATAGCAGAGGCACAGATTTGTGCCGCTGCCTTTTGCCCCATTACACACCCCTGAAGTATTACCTGGTTTCCTGGTACAGCAGAGGTGCAGATCTGGCAGCATGGAACCTGGCTGGCAGCCAGAGCATTGCTCTGGATGGCTAGCCCTCTGTTTGTTCCAGACCATGCTACTGACACATGCTCTGTGCTGGGTTTTTCCCTGGAGGGTGTTTGTGTTTTGGGGTTTTTTTGCTACTGGATTTGTGGCACCACAAACCTCACACCCTTGAATGTAGGGACTTGCCCTATGTGTTCAGGGTTTTTTTTCTCCCACTATAACTCAAGTATGATGACTTTTTAATACCTCAACTGCATAGTGTGGGCTTCATGTAACAAGTCCTAATGATGTTATTAACAAAGGTACTCTTTGGGGGTAGAGTAAGGGAAAGCAACCACTTAGGTCTCCTAATGAATATCTAATTCTCTAATGGGAACTGCTTAGTTAACTATATCTTATAATAGCTTGCCTGATGATTTATATATGAGCCCTGAAGTGAAAGCACTTGTGAATGGGAAAGTATATGCACTGGCTAAAGCCATCCCATTGTATTACGACTAAGGGTCATAGAGGAGGAGAAGACAAGTCAAAGAATTTTGAATTTTAGAGATTGTAATCCCAAACATGGGCTGTAAAAGAGTACCAAACCTGGGATTTCAACTAAACCAAACCATATTGCCAGTTCTCCAGTTCTCCCACACAAAGTGGGTCATCTGTGCTGTTACTGTAGATGGATTCTGCTTATACTAAGTACTAATCTCTATGTGGTATAACCTACTAAAAAATGTACATTATTTATTACAAAAGATTAGAATTTTTTCCATCTTTTTTTCTAAGTAATATTTTTACAGATTGAAAAAGTCTGCTAACTGTCATTTGTTATCCAGTGGTGATAGTCAGTAAAAAAAAAAAAAAAAAAAAAAGTTAGCACCATATTGACTTGTGTTCTTTGTATTTTTCAAATAGAATCTGAATCTATTTCTTTGAAAAACTTAAAAAGACGATCACAATTTTTTGAACAAGGTAAAACTAAAAGCTAACGTTTCATGTACTTTCATGAAATTGTTCCCACTGTACATTCTTTCTAACAAGTCTCTGGTGCTGGGTACTATGTCTTTTCAGCATTGTTTGTTGCTACCATGACAAAGGAACGTAATTCATTTCCATTCTTTCTCTAGGGTCGTCAGGTTATTCTTACAATTCATGGGTCTACCTTTGTGGTAATGGGTCTTTGTGTGTTTTTGTATATCTAAACCTTTTTAAAACCTCTGATGAAAAGTTCAAAACACTTTTTTTTTTTTCTTCCACTGGGTAACAGAAGGGTCATGTTCTTTGTTTAGGTTTGCAACTACCTACAAAACAGGATAATAAACATTCCAGCACATATTTCATGAAATGTTCAGAGCTATCGATAACATTACTCGTTTCAACCTAAATTGCAGTTTGTTCAGAGTCGTTGCTCTCTACAACCAGATTGATGTAACGTATCATTCTACTGCCATTCTACAGTAGATAACAGCACTAAATCCGAAGTAAACCCAGTATAAATTTTGAAATGAATTTAGTAGCGTTTTGTTTTTGCCTTTTACAGGCAAAATATATGGTTCTTGTTCATAGTTTTGTAGGGTTGCTTTTTTGTGTGCTCTGCATGTCACATCTCATATCTTCACTAATACTCTAATATTCTGTCTTCTAAGACTCTTTTGAATGTCAATATTTTGCTGCAGCCTTCGTGGGTGAAATTCTAGGCCTGTGGACGTCGATGGGAATTCTGTCATTGATACTAGTGGAGCCAGGATTTCATCCCGAATGTGTGGGGTTTTTTAAAGTGACTTTTGAAGTGGCACAACGCATTTCTTGTTATGTTGGTAGTCATTTCTAAATATCTGCCCTACCTATTTTTTATTGTAATGAAGATGTTGAAATATATTTTAAGACCCATGTCTTAATCTTGTTTTTGTATAATGAATTCTTTGGTAGTATGTTAACTGCTTTTTTTCTCCTTGTTTGAAAAAAGCCTTTCTGTATGGTAAGGCATACTTTTTAGTATTTAGTTATATATCAATAATTTATATTTTTATTAATTTCACTTATGATGCTTTATTATTCTCAGCAATACATTTCCATTGTTAAACATTTTGTAGCTAAAAATAATGCACATAAATAAATTTGACATAGGCCTGTGAGCAATTACAATAATTTGATGTGCTTTTCTCTACCATGTTTTGTTGCATGGCAGGGAAATAGGTTCCAATGTTTTTGCTTTTCTATTACATAACTGTTTTTAATGAAATGTGTCATGTAATTAACATAGTCTAAACTACTGGTTCTTTTGGCATTCATGATGTTCTTCCAGAAATATTCTAAGAAAAACTCACTCCTAAGAGTTTGTTTCCCACAATTTTTTTCTCATAGTTTTTAGTATATCTACATGGTGTGTGCACTTTGTCACAACAGCACAAGCTAAACTGAGATCTGTAACAAACACTAACAAGCACTCTATGGGGGGAGTATTTATACTGATATTTCAAATATTTTATTTTTCAGCGTAATAGTGGGAAAGGTGTAATGACTAATGAGTAAACTTCATGTCACTACAGCTGGGATTATACTGCTAATTCAATACAAAGCAATTACTGGCAGTGTCTGGAAGAATGTATTGCTGTTACAGGGTTATTCTCTTTTCAGCAGTTGTTCAGATAGGTATTAACTGCAGATGCCTAATGATTCACTGATCTAAATAAAGATAATGTGTCAAATACAAGCATAGTTTACAGTATAACCAAATAGTATCATAGAATTTCCACAAGCAAACTTTCCACATTTAAATAGGTCTTATAGCTGCATGCAATTATAATATGGGTTTTTTTGTCTCTTTCTCCTCTTATTCGTGAATCATACAGGAGGCTCAGAATCTGCAATATCTGATGTGAGTACTTGTTTACACACTGTTTATGAAATGAACTTAATGGAACTTAATGGTGATCTTGTGGCTGCCTATAAATTCATCAGGGGAGGGGAGCAGGGAATAGGAGATGCTGTATTTACTAGGACACTCCCTGGAGTAACTAGGAACAACAGCCACAAATTGACGGAGAGCAAATTTAGGTTGGACACTAGAAAGAACTTCTTTACAGTAAAGGTTGCCAGATCTGGAATGGGCTTACAAGAGAGGTAGTGCTCTCCCCTACCTTGGGGGTCTTTAAGAGGAGACTGGACAAGCACCTAGCTGGGGTCATCTGAACCCAGCGCTCTTTCCTGCTCAGGGCAAGAGTTTGGACTTGATGACCTACCGAGGTCCCTTCTGACCCTAACATCTATGAATCTGTGAATAGATTACTAGTTTTGTGGCTTTGTTTGGGGAAGCCTGCTATTAAGTATTTTACTGGGTTTTTTTATTCTACTTACGTGTCTCACTAAATTAACCAGATCACTGATTAAACCTTTCTTAAAGCTCGAATGAAGTGTTACAATTTAACTGCACCAAGTGGTATAGTACTGTAGGATCTTGTTGCTTTCAAATTGTAGCTATTGTTTTTGGACCTAGTATTTAAAAATACATTTTAAAAGATAGTGAATAGATATCTTCTTCGTTTGCATCTAATTGTTCTCTTTCTGTTCTAGCTTTCAGTCCCATCCATTACTGTTCCTAGTCGCCGGGTTTGGGATCAAGAGGAAGAGAGAAAACGACAAGAAAAATGGCAAAAAGAACAGGAACGTTTACTGCAGGTACTGTTCAACTATCCTGTTGCAGATGGAAATTCCATTGCATGTGGATAATGCATAGGATGGTCATTCAGGAAACTGTAGGACCTAGTACAAGCTCTGCCATCTTGCCTAATTTTGGATAAATAATTTAATTTCTCTACACCTTATGCCCTACTTCTTAAAACAATTCTGCCTCCATCATGTTGCAGAGTGCTTTGGGAACTGTGAAGAGACATGACAGAAATGTAAGGAATTGGGATTTGGGATAAACTGCTTTTCATTATGTTTAAGTTTGGCTAATGCCACATACAGACTTTCAGTTTCTACTGGGAAAGTTGTTCCTCTTTCAGTAGAAACTAGGCATATACATGAAATAGGAGTGTTCTCCCAGATCATTTTAATGTGTGTCCGCAGTCTGAGTCGTAAGCCTTCCTAACAGCAGAAGAGTTATTTCTCCTAGAGCAAAAATGGCTGCTCCAGGAGAAAAATATATTGGGAATAACCAAGGTTAAATCACTTCTGGAAGAGTTTCTCCTGGCAGGGCAAATGTTTGTGAACTTGCCTTTCTGAGATAAGCCGCAGCACAGTTATCCAGCATCCCAGAGTAATTTGATCCTAGCCCTTCTGGGTGGCAGTATGTTGCTCAGGCTAGATTCTACTGCTCCAGCCAACCAGAGTACAGAACATACTCCCCCATTACAATTCCTACATTGTGCTGCAGGGAGACACAAGCTGACCTTGAGCAATCTGAGTTAACAAATCAGGGCTGCCTTTGTACAACTGCTATCTGCCTCCAGGCAGACAGGGAGGTTTCAGAGCAAACTGAGATGTGTGCACTGGAGCCCCCAGCAGCATAGTGTCAGCACTGCAAGATCTCTGTTCCTCAGGGGCTTAGCATTTAAATGTGTGTTCAGGGGACTCCTGGTAATTTTTTCCACCAGGAAAACAAATCTGGGATAAGTCTTCCAGATCATTTGAACATGTGTGCACAGCCTAAATCTCTCCTTGGAAGAGTTATCTTTATTTTTCTCTTTGCCACTGTAAAGCTTTCAAATATGAAGGAGTTTTGAAAGGTTTACGTGGGAAAGGAAAATACAAACATTGTATTTTCATAATTTGAAATGAAACAAATGTTTGTCTTTAAAAAAAATTATTATAAACCTTTCCTGCATATAATTTCAAACAAAACTAATCAATTTCACTTTTTCTTTTTTAAATCTGTCAAGGAGAAATGTATTTATTTCAAAAAGGTTATTTTAAAAAACAGTTCATATATATATTTTAGTCTGCCAAGGTGTATGTTTATTTTGAAATGTGTGAACTGCACAGAATAACTTGAATAAGCCTTGAATTTTTATTTTAATGAGAATGTCATAGGAGTTACCTTCAGTTCCAGAATTTCTAAATGTAATTCTCACTAAAAATTAAGTAAGGGGAAGTAATACTTCATGGGGTCTAGGATCTAGCTATATCAGAACTTGTCTTTTTAGTTTTTATATACAAGACTTTTCCAACAGAAGTTTATGTTAATATTTTAAAATGTGGCAACAGTATTGTACAAGCCACAGTATTTCAGAATAACAATTGGCTGGTCATTCATTATTGTAAATGTGAGTAGAGGCACAAAGAGAAGAGTGGGTTAGCATGTTTTATTTGTCTTTAATAACTAATGCTTTGGGCCAATTATTGGTATCCTAAGATGTTCAAGGTCACAAAAATCTGCCAGTAAAATATTCTTAAACTGTAGTTTGGACTTTCTCCCTCAAAAAAAGTTTTCAGAAATGCCATTATGGGATTCCAAGTTCAGTCCCTTACTAACTTCAATGTCTAATTGTCTCAGAAAAAAACAAAACAAAACAAAATAAATATTTTCTTGAGAGTTTTGAAAACCCAGCCTTGGCATTAGCAATTAAGCTGGGATATTTCCATGTTTTCACATTTCTATGATATATGTTAGAAGGGCGAAGTATGACTTTGGAGCTAGCAGTGCTAGAAAGCATGTGCTTAACTTTGAGCATGCCAGTAATCACAGGGAAATGAACAGAATGGGACTACTCATGCTTAACACTTTGCCCCACATTTGTGCAGATTAATTTAATTTAAGGCTAACCATCTAAAAATTGTGGGGATCTGCAGCTGTCATTGAGCATAGTTTGCTGCAGAAGCTCTGTTTGTGGTGACAGTGCACTCATCAAGACATGGCTTAATCACACTTTGCTTATCTATAATTAAATCTGTCCCTTTTCATACCCTTTGTCTGCCTGTCTGTCTTTGTCTGTTTTTTTTGGTTTTGTTTTTTTGTTTGTAAACTTTTCAAGGTAAAAGCTTTGGTGTTTTATAAAGTGCTACCACATTTTTGGATGCTTCTGGAGATCAATCTGTTTGAGCCCAAGGTAAACTTAGAGCGCTGTTCTTAAAGAAAATGAGACCTGGCTTCCCACTTCCCTTTTCCCCTTCCTCCTCTATCCCTTCCCCCTTTGTCCCTTCTTTCCTTTCTTTCCTTTTGTTTCTTTGGTCCTTTTGCACACAATTGCTAGCCTATAGTTTCAGTATTATCCCTCTTCCTGTGATACAGTAGTTTTCAGGTTGCACTCAAACTGATCAAAAGGTAGGGAACATTAAAAATGTGTTGGTGGGCTTTCAGAAGCTGAGCATAAAAACTGGACTCTATGTAAGTCACTGTCAGAATTCCCCTTGACATCATTAGAGTCAGGATTTCATTCCATCAGATTAGACTTCACTACACCAAACAGACTGCTGTATACACTAGAATGGTTTAAAGCAAGTGCTGTATTGTATTGTATTACAAGCAGAGCACATCACATTTTCTCATTGCTCTGAATTTTTTTTATGTATAATCCGCTAGGAGAAATATAAACGTGAGCAAGAGAAATTGAGGGAAGAATGGCTGCGGGCTCAGGAGGAAGCAGAAAAAGAAAGTTCAAAATACCAAGATGAGGTAGGCTGTGATATTGTTTTCCCTTTCAAGCTTTTCATATTCTCTTTATTGAATGGGTCCACTGAAGTTAGTGGGACTACCTGTGTATGTCAAAATTTAATTACATTCAGAAATACCTAGTTTAATAGTGGTCTTAAGGCTACACCAGACTGTTTCTGAGGAACTTGCATTGGAAATAAACTGCAGCCTTACTAAATAAAATCTTTTAGATATCTCAAAATATCAAGAGTTTGACTGGCTGTTTTAGCAGCTCCTTTCTGCACCTATTGTCTGTGCCATAGCTGAGCAACCACTCTGGATATCTAAAGTGCTTATAGGGCTGTCTTGCTCTCTGTTTCTGTATCAGATTAAGGAGCAGTTTCTCAGTCTTGGCAAGACCATTTCTGTTTGTATACAGTTGTGAACAGGGAGGTGGGACAGATCTGAAACTCAGGCAACTTTAAGCCACCAATTTTGCTGTTACAACTTTTCACTATATTATCCAATACATTTTATTCAAGACCATAAGACCTGTTTGACCTGAGCCAACACATCCTGAAACATACATCAAAGGATCTTCATTTGCCATGAGATTTCCCTGAGAGCTAGCTCTTCATCTGCTCACAAAACACAATATTTTCTTCATCATGTGATGTTATTTAAAAAGAAAATGCAATGTTTTCCTCTCCACCAGGAGCAGTGCGTCCTAACTGCAGACACGATGTCTATCACTGCACATGTGCCCTTGGCTTCTAGTTGGAGAACAGTCACGGGAGGAGATGCTGATGTTCCTGAAGGAGGTGGAGGAAGTGAACAGGGGTCACAGCAGCAGCAGAATGAGAAAGAGAAAGATGAGGAAAGGAGGTGGCTTCAGGAGGAACAAGGACTCGAGGAGAAAGAAATCCTCCACTTGAAACAAAAAAGTGAACTCCAAGAGCTAGAGCTTGAGCAAAGACCTAAGGCGATAGAGCAGCAGTATACTGAGGACCAGAAGCGGTGGGCGGAAGCAGAGGCAGAGGAGCAGCATCAAAGGTCTGCATTCATAATGGGAGTGATGTATTTACATAGACTGTGAATGTAGTAACTGAGATGCCTAGGTATTTGCCTACTTACTACACTGTCCTTGAGATGCCTAGTTTCAATATTTTTTATGGTAGAGAGTAAAACACCATCTCCTTCCTTTTATAGTCATCTATTTTTATATTAAAAAAAAAAAAAAAAGGATCAACAGGGGTTCCAGAATTGACTGGGGTAGATACCTCCCTGGGATGGTTCAGGCAAATCTTGTATGTATGAAGGGGGTTGAACCAGATAACCTTAAAAATCCCTTCTGAGCCTGTAATTCTAAAACGATTTTCCTGCTGTTACAAGGAGCACAACAGGTTAACTTAATGGAAAGATTAGAAATAAATGTGGTGGTGGTGGTTGTTTTGTTTTCTGTTTTCAAAGACCTATACATTTGCAGGAAAAGCTAGAGTATCTGAGAGTATTTTGAACTCTTGTGTAACTAATGTTCCTTGAGTCCTGTCTTTAGCAGGCCAAATGTATTGGGCAAACTGTGCACTTAAATTTGACATAGGATTTTTGTTCTCAAGTTACAGCAAACGAGTTTACGTTGGATATTAGTAAAAACTTTCTCACTAGGAGGGTGGTGAAGCACTGGAACAGGTCACCTAAAGAGGTGGTAGAATCTCCATCCATGGAGGCTTTTAAGGCCCGGCTTGACAAAACCTTGGCTGGAATGATTTAGTTGGGGATGGGTCCTGCTTTGAGCTGGGCTTGGAATAGATGGTCTCCTGAGGTCCCTTCCAACCCTAATTTCCTACAATTCTATACTGTATTTACTTGAATACAGGGTGAAGTGTTTTCCCCCTACTTGGCATGGGGAAATAAGTTCCTCATTCCATAAAAGGAAAACTCACCAAATACGTGGTCTGTTACTAAATTACTGCCAAAAAGAGCATGTGCTCATCAATGGACACCAACTATGAAACTGATTAAATGCAGCCAACACTGAACATGACTATAAAACATGTGGCCCATATTGGGCAAACCTGCTGATGGGAACCATTTTTATGGCAGTTAAAAAAAAAAAAAATGGGTTGATGTTCTTTCTGCAGGGAACTGGTACTGGGCCTAGAGGTACTTTAGTACCAGGCCAGCACTGGGAGGGCCAGACAGGGAAGGAGCCAGCCCTGACACCCTCCTTTTGGTGCCAAAAATCCTTGATACTAGCCAAGATGCTGATGGGAACCTACTACATGAATGGGTTAGTGTAGCCCATCTGAATAAGACCTATGGTAATGCCTATTAAGCATAGTCCCCCTCACCACTGACTCTTTTTTAAGTCATGGTGAGCCACATTATTGAATACTGTTCATCCAGAATCCATCTGTCACCCCAGCTCTCAGCTTGGTGCATATGATTAGTGTGGCCCCAGCCTCCATATGGTAAAGCTAAACCAGGTTGCTTTGCTCCTGCATATAACTTTTTGGAGCATCCCAGGATTCATGACAAGAGCACCTAGCTCCTTTAATGACTTGGGGACTAATTAGTACATGGATCCTGTGTGTGTGTGTGTGTGTGTGTGTGTGTGTGTGGTGGGCGGGGGGTACATACATACTGAGCAGTGCTGAGCTGTGGGGTCAACATGGGTTGAAATGCTGTTGACTCTGGTGGGCCCCAGCCCAATGAACTGTGTAGTATATCATGAGCCTTTGGACTAATATCATATATAGCTTGTACTACATAAAGGTAGGTGCCAAGTGCTGTTCAAAAATGTGTTTATGGAGTACGTGTGCTAAAACAGGCAGCAGTTTCAAAAAAGGTAAAATGCATGAATTCTGAATGACCTAAGTGTATGGATACTATATGAAATTTTTTACAGCCATGTTTAATTTCAAGGTTATTGTTTTCAGATTTGTTCCTCACTTCATGTACTCAGGAAGAGCAGGGTCTTACAGTAAGGAGAGGGGGAAGGGGCTGCCAAGGTAAAAAGTTGGGGGGAAGCAGAAAGCAAATGGCTACCTAACCACTTATGCTGCCACAGCAGAGAAAATAAGTCTGAGGGGAACAAATTCAAGGCAGATCTTCAATAATTAGATTCTGTACCTGGAAAATTATAACAAATTTATAAATTTTCCATATGTAGAATTTAAGTACTGGGGGAGGTCATTTTATAATCTCAGTTGTCTTCTATTTGAGTAAATATGATACATTTAAGAATTGGATGTTAGCAGTGTATTCACAGGGAACATTTTTATGAAGGCCTTTCTTGCCCATTTGACCTTGTTTTTTTTATATAGTGCTCTGTTTCGTGTGTGTGTCTCTGTGTGTATTTATTTATTTATTTTTCTTATAGATTTTATAAACATTATGATGAACCTAAAACCATTGAGGATCGATCTGGCCACTTTCTTGCTGACAGGTTAGTCTGACACTAAATCTTCATACAGGTTATAATTTCACCTTTATTTACTTGAGTCTTGATTTTGGCAGTAAATCTGAGCCATTTTGCTGTGATGAAGTGAGATTCCTTATTAGCAATTTTATTTTGTGTAATCTTTGAGTTATGCTTTCACCTACTAGGAGTCAGAGCTGATATGTAGTGTACTTCATCTGATATATTGAGCTTCAGCTAATCAGTCTTAACACTGAGAAATCCAGGAAGCATGTGTATAGGCAGCCTAGAGGTAAGGCTCGGGTCAGGCTTCCTTATTCCTAATAATTGCTACTCTTATAAGCAATTGAACAACCTATGCTGTTTCCTTCTTCACCCGTGCAAGAACTCATCAGTCAGCACATTGAACAGAAAATTAGAGTGAGGGACAAGAAATTTTATGCAGATATGTTAAGTATTCTGCATTCAAAGATCTTCTTGACGGAAGACAGTAGTTTACTTAGGGCTTCGATAGCTGATGTGCATGCAATGATGCTGCTGTAGTGTGTTATAGCTGCTGCATTTGGAAGCAGAAAACACAAGGTTATTTATTTATTTTTTCAGTACTAATTGACACATTGATCTTCCTGCATTAGCTAGAGCTAGTAATATAGAAGTGCTGATAAATTCTTCTGGGCTGTCAGTACACATTGACTTACTTTTCATTTTCTTATATATCTGATTTCCTTCAGCTAAGCTCATAGAGGGTGTGTCTACACATGACGCTACATTGCTGTAGCAATGCTCTGTGGTGACCTAGCATCTGTGGGCAAAAACCGTAACGCTGCAGCTACATTGCCATAGTGAGGCTCTCCCTCATTATAGCGTGTCGCTACAGTGACATAGTGCCTAAAAATAACCATGCACAGTGCAGTATGGACTGTTCTTCACTGTATTTTAGCAGTTGTAAAAGGAAGTGCTAAAAGACAGTACAGTAACAATGACGCCATAGCGGCACGTGTGGATGCACCCAGAGTGAAGAAGTGCATGATGAATTACAGCGATTTCCCAAGAAATATTTGCAATGCAACATGTAAGGCTTTACCATTCTTTTCAGCTGCAGTGGCATTTCCAAAGTGTAAAGTGCTAAATACATCACCTTGTACGAACTGGGAGAGAGCGCATGCCTGAAATGTGATATGCTAGCTTGTACCTCATCTTCATCAGCCTTTCAACTAATAATTTTGGCATTCTTTGAGGCAAGGATTATGGGCCTCTGTGTGTATTCAGCAGTTACCAAAGGGTTCTGCACTTACGATTTAAGGCTATGAGCACTCCTTGTAATTTATACAGCATCAAAAACAATTAACTCCAGTTCCATGTCTAGGAGTTATGGGAAACCAAATCATGTTTTCTGTATTTTTAGAAGTAAATCCAGGTCAACTTCAGAATTGGATGACTACACCACAAACAGAAACGGTGAGTACTTAAATTTTTGTTTGGTTTTTTTTTTTCTTCATTTATGAAGCATCAATAGGAACATGAATACCTTCAAAGGATAGTTAATGCAGTAAGATAATTTGAAAGTAAAAAAGAATTGCTGGGATCTGCACACAAGTTCACAACATATCACACTTTGTCACAATTTTAAAAGTCAAGGAAATAAACAGCTCAAATAACTATCTGAGGGGTGTGGCAAATCACCCAAGACTCAGTCTTTAGATCCAGTTTGGATGCTTTTAAAAAAAAATATATATATATATTCTACTTTCAGCTGTAAAGTACTAGGCTTGCTGTAAGAATCATAGGGAGAAATCTGTAGTTTTTGTTATAGAGCACTCCCTTTTGGTCTTTAAAAGCTTTCAGACTAGCAAGATTCCTTTTCAGGCAGTGGTATGGACTGCTGTCATGATCATCATCTACATAAGGAATAAATGCTTTACTAAAAATTAGTAGGCTGTCAGGTAATCACAGTTAACTTACGTGCTTAACTCAAAAAAAATAAATGAGTTCATTTTTTTTTAATCGCATTAATCGCGCACATCATTTTGACCAGTGGAGTGGACCAGCTCCAGACCAGCCAGAACCCATGTGCATGGCCCCAACACCAGCCCACCCCTCACCTGCTCTAGGCTCACATACCCATGCTAGGCAGCGGCAGCAGCCAGACAGAAGCTTCTACTTGGCACGGGGGAAAAGAGCCCCCTCCGCCTCACTGCTGCCAGGCCTTTCTTGCTGCAGCTGCCCAGTGCCTGTGCCCGGGCTGCCCTGTAACTCCTCTCCGCTGCCATCATCACTGCCTCTGGGCTGCCCAGCAGGGTAGCAGTGCAGAGGATCTGCAGTGTAGCTGGGGTGTGAGCTCTGGGCAGCTGCAGCAAGAAGGGCCTGGCAGTGGTGAGGGGGAGAGGCCACTTTTCCTTCATACTGAGCAGCAGCTTATGCCTGGCTGCTGCCACTGCCCAGTGTGGACAGGCGAGTCTGGAGCAGGCGTGTAGCATGTCTGGGTTGGAGCTATTCACATGGGTTCCGGCTGCTTCACTGTGGCCGGGGAGAGTCCGGAGCGGGCATGGGGTGGGCCAGGGTCAGAGCTGGGGCTGTGCGCTGTTGGTGGTGGCAGGCAGGAGCTGCAGGGTGCACAGGTTCCAAGCTGTTGGGTAGGGGCGTGATGACTTGTTTAACTGTGTGATTAAAATTTTGATTAATTGCAACTATTTTTTTAATCTAGGAATTTAATTGTGATTATTTTTTTTAAAAAGTCTTTGTCAGCCCAAAAAATTAGTTAGGATATGGCTAGATTTTTTGAATGGGTCTTGCACAGTAGATTGATAGAAACTATAGGTTTATCTATGGAAAATGGTATAGGACAGTGGTGCTCAACCTTTTGGGCCTGTGGGGCAGATGAGTAGAGCAGGCCTTGTCCGCAGCCTGGATAAGCTCCATGTATAAGGATTAGGCTTTGAGGCCCAGAACTGTCCCCTCTCTGCCCCAAACACCAGGAGTGGACCCTAGAGCCTGGCACCACCCCCTCCCATCCCTCTGTGCTAGGATTGGGCCTCAGGGTCCCAGGCCTCCACCCAGCCCTCTGCACTGGGATTGGACTCCTAGTTCAGCATACAAGGCCCAGGGTTCCCCTGGAGGTCCAGAAATTTGGGGGTCTTGGAGTGGTGCAGGAGGAAGTGCGGCAGGGGTGTGGCACCACTCTTCTGCAGCCAAGTCTTCCAGACCCATGGCGAGTCAGTCCCATGGGCCAGATAACATGGGACTATGGGTTGGGGGGTTGAGCACACCTGGTATAGGATCCATTAGTACGTTTGAATTGGTAATAAGAAAACTCAAGGGAAGGTATTTTTAACGTAGCTGAATTTACAACTTTTAATTTGTGAATGTGGGGATAACAGGAGATGACTTCATAGTTTTATGACAATGGCTTTTTTTTTTTTTAAGCAGTTAGGAAGAATTACATTTCAGAAAATTATCTTCAGGAATTGAATTTTGGATATTTTCTAATCTGTTTCAAGCAAAAATAGAAAGTGAATGTGGGTGACTTGACTTACTAAATCCTGTTCTGATGAAAGATACCAATGATGGAAGATACTATTTCTGCATCTAGAAACTGTTTTAACATCTTGTGTCTGAGTAATAAATGGGTTTATGTATGCAAACATGAATGTAGGTCAATATGAGAAACCATTGGGTGGTATCGCCCGAGGGTTGCTACAGGATGAGCTAAACAAAAAACAAAGTGTGAAAATGCAGCAAGAGACCAAAGAACCTGAACAGAAGGCTCCAAGAAGGCAAATGCTTTATCAGATGAAGTATAATAACCCAAAGCAAGGTGGGAGTGCAGCTTCATAATGGCTGTATCACTTTCTCAAATCATGTTTCAATCATTAAAACTAATGAGAAAAATAACTCCCAAACTATTTTAAAATTTAAATCTCTACTGATTTAAAAAAAAAACTGTAGATATAGCAGCATTTAAAGGCAGAGAAAATGACAGTGAAGTAAATTAATTCAGAACTATATGTGTTATGACTATTTGATTAAGTACTAGCTACTGTTAATTTAAAATACTGACTTTTAATCATGGGTAATTCTATTAATTTAAGGAATGTGGTCCTTTTCCCCCTATCAGGTAAAGACCAGAGGATTCTTTACACCAAAAATTTGAGGTCTCCTTTTACCATAGTATCAAGGTATTGGGATAGATACTACAGTAGCAGGATATTAAAGAAAATGTCTCTCATTTAAGGAAGAGCATACACCACACACACCAACTGCTGAAACTTCCTTAGCCTGACGAAGGGTTTTTGAACCCAAAAGCTTGCTTAATAACTATTCTCCAAACATTTGGATTGGTCTAATAAAAGATATCAAATTCACCCAAGGAACCTTGTCTCATTTAAGGGACATTTTTGAAGGCAGTGCATTTACAAAAGCAAAATTAAGAGTCCTGTCTAAAACACAATAAGTTTGTGTATATCTTGAACAGGGAAATAATTATATCCTAAGCAAGGAAATGATTCTTGTAAAGAGAATGGGGAGAATACAAATTCTGCAAAAAGAGAGAGGGCTCCATTGTGCAACTGTGTATTTTGTCAGGCTTTGGTTCAAATTATTGGACCTCTAATCGAGCATGGGTAGTTTAGAATGTTAGAGAAAAGGATCCTCTGGCTTTCCCCTGTTCTTGAAAATAATACAGCTCTATTCTGTGGCATGTATATAGTGTTTGCTTATGTCACATCACATTTACTGTTATGTTTAAATTATCATGATTTATTATGTGATTTTTAATGTTTAAATTCTGTGTGTGAAAGCAGCAGATTAATATTATGCTTCACCCTTGGCTCTTCACACTCCAGGAGCTAAGAAGAGGGAGTGGTGCCATGAGACCCCTACCTACTTCTCACTGAGGAGTCTCCAGAATGAGAAGCGGTCAGGGGCTTTGCCCAGCTGCTCCTTTGTCCTGTTCCTGGTCTCAGGGAGCTGAGTAGAGGGAGCAGCACCACCCCCTGCCTGTTCTTCACTCGGGAGCCCCTGCAGTCAGAAGCAGGGTCCCCAGTCTGAGGAATGGGCTAGGGGCTTTTCCCCACTGCTCTTCCATCCCCTCCTGGACTGGACTTCTTTTATGACGGTCAATACAAATGTGAATAAACTTAAGCCTCTAGCACCTCAGTCAAATTTTAAAATTGTGACTGTGAACATGCAGCACATTGGGCAACACCAGTTTTTTTGCCATTGCAATTTTTTCCCCTTCGTCCCTCAAATGTTTGTGTATCTTATTCAAAGCAGGTACAAACAACAAATACTTGGAAAAATCTCGGAATGTTCCTGATTCGCAGAAAGGGTCTCAGAAAGAGCCTGCCATGTCCCAAGCAGAGGCAGAGAGACAACAAATCCTTCAGGAAATGAGAAAGAGAACGTCACTGCATACAGACAACAGCTGGATTAGGCAGCGCAGTTCCAGTGTATATAAGGAACCCATTACTGTACACAGCACTTTGATGAGGAGGTAAGACCAGTGTTGAAAATTTGAACTTTGGCTCTTGATAAATATTTATCTTGGGGGCCTTTTAGGTATTGTTGCTTTCAAAGATGAGAAGATTTTAAGCCAATTTGAGTCTTAACAGAAGGATGACATTTGCTTGTATTATGGTATCAGATCCGAGACCACATATTTACAAGTACTGTGCAGAGCAATTGTTTAGGAAACTAAAATACTTCCCTAATTGCTTACTTTTCATTTGATGTAGCCATAGCAAAAGTTAATCATTAACATGCTCCATCATTTGCCCATGCTATTAAGAACATCAATAGCAAAATTTGTGAAATAAAGCTCATACATTGGTTTTCTAAGTTCTGCCACATGGGAATCTTGCATGAAACTCATGTTCTAATATTTATTGCTTAAACAACATCTCAGTGTTGGTTTGCACTTAGGAGACAATAGATATCAGTCATGAGGACTCATAGCTCCTGTGCCAACAGCTGGTTTCTGGATAACGTTGTTATCTAGTAGTGGGTAGATCTATTTTTAAACCGGTATCCCTTAGAGAAAACTACAAACAAAGCCACTATGTGATGTCTGTTACTAATCAAAGGATTCTTATTTAGTTCACTCTGATAAGGCTGTGGCAAAAGTTATTCTACCATTATCTTTGCCTTTTACCTTTTTTAGTTCACTTTTTCCAAAGGTCAGTACAACACAGTAAAATTATGTAGCTTGCTACTTTTAATTAATGAGCCTAATACAAATATTTCTTGGGTTACCAACAAGAATATTATGCTACAAAATGAACCTTTTCATCAGAAAGTTGATTCTGCGCAATAATATCGGAGTATTAGAACTTAACAATTATCTGTTTCAGAGGTGAATCTCTAGACAATCTTGATTCTTCAAGAACAAGCTCGTGGAGACATCATTCATGGATGAATCAGTCTGTCTCATCTAGTCAAGATTATACTCGCCCTGCTCCTCCAGCAGGGTCTACTTCAAATCGGGCCTACACATGCACTCCCTCCTCCAATGTAGCACCTTCATCAACCAGCTCTGTCAGAACAGCATCTTCGACCCACACTCTCCCATCAGCACCATCTCCTGTTCCTCGTGCTCAGTCTCCTACCTCTGCTTCCCAATCCGGGTCTCAGACACGGAATAAGTAAGTAGTTGCCCCCCTCAGTCTAATGAACAGAAGTCTGTCTTACCCTGTAGACGCTGATATAGTAGTTACAGTGGGGGTGGTGTTTCAGGGCTGCTATGGACTTTGCTGGTTGATATTAAATGAGCTACTTAATTTCTTAACTCAGTTCTGAATGTCTGTCGAATGGATATAATTATATTGTACTGGCCTCTACCCAATAGGGTTATTGGAAAGTTTAATTCATGTTTGCCAAGTGCCTCAACTTTCAGGCAAGCACCAAGCAGAACCAAGCATTATCAGTTCCATATTTCTCATGGTTTTGTTGCTCGTGCTTTATACTGGTTTAAAAAAAGAAAAGAAAAGAAAAGCTAGACCAATGAACTTTTAGTCACTTAATTCTATTACTTGTTGGCTACCATAATGATTACTTAAAGTATCTTTATGCTTTCCAGATAGTACTGCTAGCATTTATTGGGGTTTTTTAAGAATCTAGTATTTAAAAAATAAATAACATATTTCATGGTGTATAAGTCAAGTTTTGACGCCCAATTTTTAACGCTTTAAAATTCAACCTTGACTTATACACTGTATCACCCTCCCCTGCAAGTGGCGCTGGGTTTGATGCTCAGCTGGCACAGCCCAGGCAGCACCACTCGCAAGGGATGGGGCCATGCCAGCTGAGTGCTAAGCCTGGCCCTGTCCCCTGTGAGTGGTACCAGGCTCAGCTCTCGGCTGGTGCAACCCCATCCCCTGTGAGCAGCACTGGGCTAAGTGCTCAGCTGGCACAGCCCAGGCAGTGCTACTCACAGGGGCTGGGGCCATGCCAGTCAAGCACTGAGCCTAGCTCTGTCCCCTGAGAGTGGTGCTGCGGCACCTCTCTACCTCCTGGGTGCCTGACCTGCAGTGAGGGCGCGCAGGGACTGGTATAAGTCGACCTCATATTTCTGATCCAAAAAGTTAGGCTGACTTATACACTGGATCTATGAAATTCCTAACTTTTTGGATCAGAAAAATGGGGTCGATGTATACAGCGCATCTGCCTATACACTGCAAAATACAGTAAATAAAAGTGTAAGCCCTATGTTTTATTGTTCATATCTTTTGGCATGTGGTCAATATCTTTTTAAGGAATGCTCAGGAATTTTCATTACTACTGGCCTTGGACAGCTAGAGTAGGCCATTGCTTTTAATCCAGAAGGGAAAGAAAGAATTACAGTTTATTTTGAAGTCAAAATGAATTTCAAATGTGGCATAGGAGAAGAAACAGATCATGGTTATGTGCAAGTCATTTTTTTAAGCAAATTTGTGGATAACTCTCAGAAATCATCTACATGTGATTGCTTGTACTAGGTCTAATAAAGACTTTAGAAAACATTCCTTTACCTTTCCTACCTCTAGCACTCTGGAACACTGTAATAAATGTATCAGCTACGCCCCCTCCCCCCCCCACACTTTTTTTTTTTTTTTAAAGCTAGGCTACCTAATTTTTTTAAATATAGTATAAGATAATTTTTCCCCTTAAAATGGTAGCTTATCTTGTTCTTGCTTTCAGTTTCTGATTTGCTAACATCCTGGTTGATCCATTGAAACTGACCTCCATATGGCACACTTTCAAAGGGTTTAAATTCCAGAATCAGCTTTCTGTTATCTATCAAGGTGCAGAAGAAGAGACTTGGCAAGGGTATATACTCAAATGCAGACTTTAGAATACTTTCCCAGAGATCAGTAATAAGGCAGTAGTGCTGAGACTGTGTGGTACTTATCAGACTCAGCAATATCCTTCTTTTAGATTCCCTTCGAGGTGGCATTTGGTCTTGTGAGTGATGTGAAAGATGGGACAGAAATTCTAATGTTCATTTGTTTTGTCTGTACATATTTACTTTTTTTGTTTAGATTATATATTTTGTTCTTAGTTTGCAGATTTATTTTAACAAACTAAGTTGGATATTATTTCCAGATAACCTAACTTTTCTCTTTACAAGTACTCTCTTTCAGTGATTTTTCTCACCGCCTCAGACCTTTGATTGCCTTTGCTAAATTCTTTTAAAAACCTTTCCAAGTTGGTTTTGAGGATCTGAGCCACATTCTTGTTCTGTATCCAGGTCAATCAGTGGGAAGAAAATATGTTCATACTGTAATAACGTTCTGGGCAAAGGAGCCGCCATGATCATCGAATCTCTTGGTCTTTGTTATCATTTACATTGTTTTAAGGTGAGAGGTAGGAGTAACACTGTGAAGAAACAGGAGCTAATGTGGAGCACGCTTGGTTGCAGGGGCTCTGCTGATCACATGCTACATGCTTTCCTTATGCAGGTGTGCTACGTGTATGTATCCATGCCGCAGTCCTATCTGCAAATGTTATGTTAAATGCTCATTTTAATATTGCTCTAATTTGCAATATTTCTAAATTTTAGAGCAATATTAGAGAAGCATTAAAATTCTCAGATCTACCTTACAGTTCTTACTTCTAAAGAAAACCTGTTGTGAAAGACCTGAACCCCCTGCCTTCTGAAAGATGTCTCAAGTTGTATAGTCAAGAACTAAGCCACCTAAAACCACTAGTCCTTTTTATGAATCTCAGTCAATAGAGGTCAGTTTTTGACTTTCCTAAGATCCCTTAGTTAAGGACAATAATGCACTTTGCTCTAGGAGCACATCAGGGGTGACACCCATGCCATTGGTTCCTGGTTCTCTCCAAGCTTGGGCAAAAGTAATCTGTGCCAGCTCCACTGCTGTTGCAGATTGTGTAGATGTTTTTACACATGCTTCTGATGTGGCACTGGGCACTTTTAATTAGGGAGCCATACTAATTAAAAGCTCCTGCATGTCATGTGCTTCAGCAGTGCAGCACGGCTCCATGCTGAGCAAGTAGTGATGGTGTGCTTTGAACTAAAGCATGTTGAACGTGTTTCAATTCAAAACACACCACCACCACTTTCTCAGTGTGGAGGTGCACTGTGCCACTCATGCACATGACACACGAGCATGCCAGAGCGTGTCAATTTGTGCTCCAGCAGACTTGATTTAATCAAGCCTGCTCTGACACACTGGGTTTCCAGCACGTCGGAGCAGGCTCCCCATGTGTGTAAGTGCCCAGAGTATCCATCCCCACTCCCTGCAACACTACCTGCCCCCCTTTGCACACACATACTAGCTCACTGGCTCTGGTCTGGATCCATTGTGCTAACTGGCATGTTGCAGGGAACTTAGCTGAGGCTTCATCAGTTCCTGCCCACCTGGAAAGGGAGAGATGCTGTAGTCCGTCTGTTCCCTATAAGAAGTGTACTCTGCTTTGAGGAATTAGAGGGCTCTTTTTACCTCTAAACTTGCCTGTGCTGGCATGTGAGAAAAGGCATGACCCTGCCCAAAGAGAATCTGTTAAGATTGAGACATTAAAGAGAGTGCTGCAGAATTGGACTTATTACTTAATAAGAGTTGTTTCAAATGTATTTTATAAGGCCCCGTGGAGGAGCCTGATGCCTATATACTGTAGCATTTTTCACTTAGGTTAGAAAGCTTGAGATCCTTAGGGATTACTGTTTTGTTTTGTAAATCCAGCAGGTAAATGGGAGTTGTGAAGTAGCTCTAGAAACTTTGAAGGTTCTGTATGCCTTCTTGGAGAGATGTTGTTTAGTTGCCCTTCTGTAGCAATATTCTGTTTAGTGAATAGGCTTAAACATTTTAATAGTTGGATAAAGAAATGGTACGGAGGACTTTGTTCTTGGCAACTGAAGAGGATTGGAGCTCCAAATAACTTCTATTTTTTTAAATGTATCCATACACCACTTAGAATAATTGTGCATAAATGCTTGCTGCCTTTGAAAATTATGGGGTTGTGGGAACAAGCTAGCAGAATGAAAAGCAGATACGGCAGCATGGAGTCTGCAAGTGGCAGACCTGAATGTTCTGCGCCAGAATTGCTCATCGCCATTTCAAGAACAAGTGCTTTCATGTTGTGCCATTTTTTTGTGCTTTCAGAGAAACTGAAGCTTAAAACAAGATTTTGTGACCTAATCTCTAAATCACGTCTGCTTTTTACATGTTTAGAATGTACATCGCTGCTATGAGTTGGCAAGTCATCACCTTAAATGATAAGCCTAATCTGGTTGGCTGCATTTTAATCAACTAATCTTTGTATGTTTGCTCTTGCGGATCCTGGGTCTATGGTCTGGGCTTTGCTGGCTTGTAATATGATCTGCTTTTGAACTTTGTTTCCCAGCCTTTGTAAAGTGGAGCTAATTCTTGCTGTTTCTTACAGTGTGTGGCTTGTAAATGCAACCTTGGAGGATCAGGCTCGGGAGCTGAAGTCAGAATTCGAAACAATGAGCTCTTCTGCAATGACTGCTATATCAGATTTAAAAGTAAGGAAATAGAATAAGTGTGAGTACTGCTTTCTGGGGGTACTTGCTGTGGGGCTCAACAAGCGTCTCCTCTTTTACCAGTCAAAAGGGGCTTGAAATTTTGGGGCAGGTGTGGGCAGGGGGGTGGCCCACTGCCAAGATCCTAGGTACGGAGTCCCTTCAGGGGTATGTTTTGGTGGTGGGAGATGAGTGAAATCTGTGTTAACCCCCACTGTCACTGCTCGTCCTGCTGCCTCCTATTTGGCCTGCAAGATGCCCCACCATTCAGATCTAAGTTTGACATGACCGGCTTAGTGCAAACTTGGTATACTAGCAAATTCATTTATGATGGTTTTGTTTCATTTCTTTTTTTGTGGGCTCTTGTCCCCATTCCACTTAACTCTTGTGCTGGTATAGCCACCAGCATCTTGTTAAGGAAATGGATGTAAGCAGGGAGATGAAGTGAATGTACTTCAGTCTTTGAAAGCCCAGGAGAGGCGAATTTTAGGATTATTGCCAGTAACTGAATAGATTTGTCTTGATAACAGATCAGTTGCATTGCAGACCCGCATCCGTTTATAAAACTAATATGAAATTTTATTAGTACATTCCTGTCACATTCTGGAAAAGTCATTAGTTTATCCTGTGCTGGTAACACAGATCTTAGTAGTTCTCAAATGCTAATATTACTTGAATTATTGCCTCATGATTGGTTATTCATTTGGGTATGAGTGCAGTTGGGGGTTGATTTACTTGCATGTCTTAATTAAAGGACATGGTAATTTTTTTTCTTCATTAGTATCTTTAACATTTTAACTTTCAATGAAGTTGCTTTTGGTAGCTTGATAAGCTATTACTTTTCTCGCTGCAGTTGCAGAAAGCACTAGACAATTCCTTAATTTTAAGGTGAGTTCTTCCTTTGAATCAGGCATTTAGGAATGAAATACTCCCATGGCAAAATGCTCTAACTATTCTATTTGAGCTCTTTTTGTTCACTGATGTTAGGAAAGCAATGTGGTGCTCTTGCCAGAACCTGTGACCTAGATCCAGGTCTTTCCTGGCTGTAGAAGCCCAACAGGAAGAAGAGAAAATACTACTCATTTTTTTTCTATATTCTCTCTTTTTCTTTTTCTTTTTTTTTTTTCTTTTTTGGTGGGGGCAAAGTCAGGTTACTTTATTTTTGTTTTCAACCCAATAAGCTAAGGACAGGAATGACACACAAACCTATATAAGTGATCAGAAACCAGCTCAAATCTGTTAGACAACAGGGCTAGTGAAAGAAGTTAAACATGTTTGTGCATAAGTGACCAGAAACTGGTTTAAACCTGTAAAAGAACAGAAGTTCAGTGCATATAAACCAGTTTCAAAATGGCTGAAATTGGTTTTAAGATAAACCTGGTTGAATGTAGTACATGCTTACCTGATTTGGGTCAAACCAGTTTACGAAATGTCCGTCACAGACTCCTTCCTGTTTCAAGTTAAATTAGAGGCCCCCCCAGCATCCCAGCATTTTGCAGCTGTGGGCTGAGCTTTGCTGTCTGCTCCATAGAGCAGGGCTAGTCCCGCCCCTCTGCTCCCTAGCTGGAGTAGTGAGGGCTGGCTTACTGGCCTCACTGGCTGGCTCACTGCGCCCCCCCCCCCCCTCCCCCAGCAAACCCCTGTTGGAGTCTGGTGCCAGGGAGGTAGGGGTTAAACTTCTCTTCCCCCCAAGTACAGAGGTGCCCTGTTCGGCTTGCTTAGTGCTGGCTGTAGCTGTGGACTAAAAATACCAGAGGCACCTGGAAGCAGGAAGAGGAAGTGATGAGCAACCCTGCAGAGTCCTGCTGCTGTGAGTCTGGGCAGTAAATCCCAGAGACCTCAGGGCAGCAGGAAGAGGAAGCAAATCCACAACCAATGCTGGCTAAGTGCCAAGCAGCTGTGCTCTAGTGCCCCCCAGTTTCTAGCCTGAGCCACTGCAGGCATGTGGCTGCATTTCTGGAATCAAAAGTAAATGCCTGTTCACTTGCTAATTGGCTCAATCTATGCAGCCTAGATTAACCTGTGAAGATTGAATTAATTCAGCCTCAGGCTTTTTGATAGTCTGTACTTAGCCATAAAGTACAAATTGATTTGGAAACTAGATACTGGAAAAGCAACTCTTCTCATAGCGTGTTACTGCAGGAGATGTGATTGCCGAAGGCTTTCAAGATGGATCTCTTTGGCTAGAGACAGACATTCAAAAAGCCTGAGCCTGAATTGATTCAGTCTTTGCAGGTTAGTCTAACTTGTCTAGGTTGAACAAGTTTCCAACTGAACAGACATTCTTTCTGGACTGAGAAAATGCAGGCATATACCCAGCCCACAGAGCATGCCAGGATGCTGGGGGTGTCTGGTTTATCTTAAACTGGGACAGACATTGCATAAACCAGTTTGACACACATCAGTTAAGTCTGATACTACATTCAACCAAATTTCTCTCAAGCCAGTTTCAGCCATTTTCAAACTGGTTTATGTGCAGTGAACATCTGTTCTGTTACAGGTTTAAACTAGTTACTAATCACTTAAACCGGTTTATGTGTAATGTCTGTCCCTCGCCCTGCTCTTTGGAATATTAGAAAAGTAATATAGATGCTTCGGATGCATGATTCTGGAATTGATTTTGTTCTTCCTTACCTCTATTTCACAAAATCCAGATTTGTGAAACTGCTAGATCAGTCTAAGTTTGCTTATTAGGTCCAAAATGTTGTGGTGGTGGTTATCCCTAAAACCCAATCCTGTTTTCCAGCTGAGCCCAAGTTTTAAAATATTAACACCCCCTCCCCCGAACATTAGTTACACACAACACTGAGTTTAACTGTAGCACAGTAATTAGTATTATCATCTAATATTATAAAAGCCTAAGTCTGTCTGTCCGTAACTCTTTATTCGCATTTTGATTGGCTGATGGAAACAGCCAATCAGAGTGCTCCAAGTGTGGGGGAGCGCTGCCATGATTCCGAAGCCATACCAAGGACTGGACAAGATGCAGAATAGCAGCAGGATGGGGTGTTAGGTGGCCCCCTTCCCCTCGCCCCCTCATCATTCTTGACGGGCAATTGGCTAGTTCATTATATTTTATATGTTAAATCCATAACTTGTATTATTTTTTACTGGTGTAAAGAGACTTCTTTACTTCTGCAAAGAGAACTTATAATAGATTTGGTGTTGTTTTGACTAACAATTTACAAGTATATTTTTGTTCACTAAGACATTGTAATCTTAGGACCTTGTTATATATTAATTTTAAGAGGTTCTTGGAGTTCTTAACCACTGGATTGTCTGTGCATTAACACTGGAAACTAGTTTTAAGCACATTTTAGGTGGTTTAAATTTATGCAACTCTGGGCCAGATTTATCTCTGTTATCCAGATCGTGTCTCATTAATGTGCGACTCCCTACAGATGAGCTGCCCATATTGCAGTCCTTCATCATCCCAGGATGCAGTATCCCCTCCCCTCCCCTCCTGTTCTGAACTTTCCACCTCCTGAACACTACTGCCCAGGGGGCAGTTCTGGCACCAAGCCAGCTCCCCCTCCCAACCCCCTGGGAGTGTGACCTTCCCACCCTCAGAGTTGTGCAGCCTGCTTAGCACGTGCCAGCTAGCCAGGTTGCAGGGCATGAACAGGTCCAGGAATGGAGTCTAGGCAGGGGTGGGTGGGAATAAGGTAGGAGTCCGGCCGGATCAGGTCCCCATGGGCTGGGGACTTACTTCCCAGACAGGTGCATTAGCTCCCCCAAAAGCATTTTGTCTTGCCAATCCCAGCCACCCCTGGAAGCACAACCAGCACCCCCACATCCTAATTTTAAATCCCAATTTATTTAAACATGAGACTTTCTTTAATTTACTTCTGCTTTATTTATTTTTAAATTCATTCTTATTTTTTACTACTTTTTATTTTATCCTTCAGTGGCTGGGGGACTTCATTTCACCACCCTTCCCCCACCCTTGTTTCCTTTCCACCTCCCATTTCAGGAGCCTGTCCTGGCTCACCAGCCCTGTAGTGGCAACTCACACCTGCAGCTCCTACTTGGGCCCCTGTTTGTCAGCTCTCTAGTAGCATGTCACAGCTGTGCAGGTACAAGACATCCAGAGAAAGTGTTTAGCCTTAAGGTTCAACTGCTCCAAACTTGCATTAACACTAACAGCAGTTAACATTTGAGCAGTAGCAAGGCTCTTAATTAACAACTTTTCTGTTTCTTCCCTTCCTTAACAGCTGGACAGCCAACCTCCATGTGAAGCAAACGTAGATATGAAGTCATTGCTGCAGATAGAGGAGGAGGTGGTTGCTGCTGATGTAGATCTATAAATATATAGTGTGTGTTTTTAAGAGTAACCTTTTTTTGCCCTTCTAGATTTCATAGAAGACGAGCTATATCCTTCATATACCTGTACTTTTATTTATGAGAAAGTAATTACAATAAGATAATATCTTGGGGAAAATGCATTCACTTTGAGCTCAACCTCTCAAGCACAAAGAAGAACAAGCATCAGTAATAACTTCAAAATATGTTTGAGGCTAATAATTAAGTAGCTGAATTTCCTATGATGCATGAAGAGGGTATTTCTGTTTTTATGCTCTTAAAACTATAGAGCACTATAGGAATAATTAATATAAACGTGTATTTGCAATCACCGTCTTCATTTTTTGACATGCTGCAAAGTGAGTTCTCTAGAGTAATATGAAGCTGCATTAAAATGCACACCAACGTGTTTGCTTCCTGTATGCTGGTTTCTAAAATTGTTTATTTGCTTTTTGAAACTAAGATACCAAGTATAGTCTGCTCAGTGGTGAAGGCATAATGTGCTACACACAAACAGTGGAATCCATTTGAGGGAATGGTTTCTCCTTTTCACTTTTGACAGATAAAACTATCACTTTCCCTCAAACAAGTTAATTCAGGAAGTGGAGGAGTTTTCTGTTGAATTTCAGTATATTTGTAAATATTTTTTCTGATGCTACATTGACTTTTTCCTTGTCTTACCTGCCTTTTGCAAAATATTCATGTCCACAGAATGAATTGCTGAACAATAAACCTGATTGTTTGAATTTGTTTTGGTAAAACATTTCTTGTCTGAGGTTTAAAACACTGCTACATATAGGTGTACATACTCATAGAGAATGAGGTCTTGTATCTTGCTTTTCTGCTATTTACCCATTCCAAATGTAAATTTGGTAGTGATCTTCTCTGTCAGGTCCTATTTTCTCTTTCTTTTCAATATTTATTACAAGTTACATGACTACCATTACAATAACATAATGTTTAATTCAGGACATGTGGAAACTTCCCCTAATTGGTCTGTTGCTCTGCAAGAACTATCCCTGAGCTGCTGCTGCATGCTGGTGAAATATGTACTATGCAGTTTTGGGCAATAGCTCTCAACTTTTTCTCTTTTTGGTTGGTGACCTGCAGAATCATCTTGCTGTCAGTTAGTACCCCACCAGTCCTTGGTAGATGCAAAAAAAAAAAAAAAAGAAAAAAAAAAGGATTTTTACCACAAAAAACTGTTTAGACTCATTTATGGATTGCAGCTCAATAGTGGAAAAAGGGAAGCTGGGTGCAAGGGGACAGCAAAACCCTTGTCAAAGTAACTCAAACAAAATAACTTAAAGTGCTTCTTCCTTTGATGGGGATCAGTCTAAATGTTATGTTTGGATGGGAGGGGATAGGGAGCACACAAACAGTTACATATTGCCAGGGACATGAGTACAACTGGAGCAGCAGGAAAGGCAGGTGAAAAACAAGTTCTTCCTTCCTTCCGCTTTGGACGCTGCGGAGCAGGCTCGCTTGGAGCTGCGTGGGGCGATCCCGAGCGTAAGACTCCCCGGCTTCCTATCTCTTTTCTTTCTTCCCTCCCACCTGTCTAAAGGTCTCTAGCCTCTGTTTATTTCGCTTTCTGACTCTTTTCTTGCTTTTTTGCAGCTTTCTCCCCCACTTTTCTCTCCTCTCTCTTCCCTCCCCCTCTG